CATTTCAAATTGCTGACTTATGTTTAATCTTCATGTAATTATTGGTCAGCGATAATCACAATGTGGTAAGTTGTATAGCAATGGAAACCTTGAAGAATGTTTTTTTTTCATTTTGGCAGAGAAGTGACTATTGATATTTTCACTCTCTGCCAGGGCTGAAGAATAAAGTTTGTTAAGGGTTGAACAGGCCAGATAGATAATGCTACTACTGTTTTCAGCAGATGCTAATGCAGTGTTTTATTTTGCATATGTATTAATCTTTGCTGCCTCAGTACAGAGTGGTGAGGGTAACTATGTCAGTCCTAAAGGGTAATTTCATCCTTTTTTAAGGCATACCATTATTCTGTTAACAGTAATTGCTCTTTTTTTGAATGATTAATTTGATCACATGAACTGTTTCTAATTACGTTGGTGACTGGCAATTTCCTGTACTGAGAAATTGTAGTTGTGGTCATATCCTATTTACTCTGAGTATATGCCTTAAGAAAAATGCTCACTGACAGGCATTTTCAGAAATTGCCACTAATTTCAAGATCTGGTTGGAGACTTTATAGAAGATGCTTAACACTTGTTTTACATTGGTGTAGCGTATATGGAAAAGTACTTGACGAATGAGGGCTGAAACAACTGGATGTAAGGCCAGGATGAGCAGGTTTGCAAATGCAGGCCTGTCTGCTAAATTACCACCTATGCTGTCAGTGCTGTGAAAACTGAAAGGTGTGGGACGTGTTTCTTGCACATTTTACAATGTTCTTGCACTCGAGCTGGGTGTGCTCACTGCTGTAAGCTCTGTTTGCTCGCGTCAGTCACTGCTAATGAGCCAGAGCGTGCAGCACTGAGAGGCTCCTGCTTGGTGCGCAGCCCTGGCAGGGAGCAGGGGCTGCTGGGCTGCCTGCAGGAGTCACACTGCTCCAGCGACAGCAGCTCAGCCCTGCACACAGCACTGACCCTGCAGAGGCACGTTTGCCTCCAGTGCCAAATCTGCATCCAGTTCACAAATAGCAGGACAACACTGAGCTGTCTCAGCTGCATTTACAGCAGCTGAGTTAAACTGTGATTCAAATGAAGAATGTACCCAGCAGAGAAGAAAGGTGCTGGGCTTGGCCAGGGTGTAGGACACTGCCTGCATGAAGATTCACTCATTCTCTGTTGTCTCATGCTGAAGCTGGGCATGGCTGTGTGTTAAGAATAGCATCATTCCCATGGACACAAACCACTGGGAGTTGAACACTCCTTTTGCAATTGCTACAGCAACTTGGCATGTAGTGCTTGCTGAAGGGCTGATGTTACATGCATCTGCTGGGTCTGAGCTGGTTCTTCAAAGCTGTTTGCACTGGTTCCACAGGATGTGATAGGCACTTAAATGGCATCCAGAATCAAGGGGTCTGTGATTCAAAGCCCCAACTTCTGTCTCACCCCAAAAGTACTCCCAGAGGAGGTACTTTTGCCTCTTAGTAAAAGTACACCACTGATAACATCACCAAGAGCAGCAGTACCAGGATCCTGAAACTGAGCATTCCCTCTGGTAATCTAACATTGAAAGCCTTCAAAGTGCCACCAAGTGCTTTGCCGCAACATACTGTCTTAAATATATGTTCTACATGTGTTCCTTACTCCACCTATGCTTGTAAAACTGTTACATTTGACTTGTATTGGAATGACTCTGGCAAATAGCTGTACTTATCAATAACTAAGCTGTAGCCCCAATCATGTATGCTCTGTCACAGCTGTAATTCCCAGTGCCTGTGGGGACTCTGGTCTAGTGCAGGAACCAAGAGCTGCAAGGCTTTTTATGTGCTCCCTGATCTGTCTGTAACCTGTCCTCAAGGATTTTTACAGGCAAGCAACCTGTAGGCCTGATATGGACATGTCCCTCACAGTAAATTAAAGAACTTCATCAGATGTTCAGTGGCTCATTAGAGTGGGACCTGTTATCCCTGCCCAGGACACACAGGCTGCCTCTCCAGTGGCATATTGCCCTTCCTGATTACCTTTGCCACCTCTAAGGCTGGGGCATATATCTGTGAATCATTTCAGGCATTCCTGCAGTTCTCAGCCAGGTGTGCAAAGGAAAACCAGCTCCCTTCACGAGTGGATCATGAGTTCTGCTTTAGTGTTTTGAACCAGAGAGCTTCTGTTGGCCAGCTATGGTCCATTGTCTGCATTCATCTGCCGGGGGCCATCCTAATAAGTTGTGAGGCGTGTGCTCAGAATTTACCACTTTGCTAACTGTATGAACAGCAAGCAGAAATCTGAAGGATGCTTTGGAGATGCTTTTTGCAATGCAATATAAACACAGTGAGAGGGCCTCTTCAGAAGTCTGTGGATATGCCCACACTTGGATCGTTGCTGGGCCTAGCTGATTCAGGAAAGAACATAAAAAAGTCATTGATTCAATGGAAGACATTTACCCAAGAGTTGTGTTTGAACAGCTTAGGTCTCAGAATGGAATTCCACTTTGATAATTGTCAATATTAATTAAAAAACTTATTTTGGCATCTGAGAATTACTTTTACTAGTTATCATATTTATTATTTTTTTTCATTGCATTGTAGGCATAATTGTATGTTGTCTTGGATAATTTTAAAGATTTAATTTATGACCCAACTATACTTGACCTTTAAAAAAAGTCCAATGGGCAGAGACTTACAAGCCTTACATGTTCATATGGAACGAGCAGAGGAGACCTCAGCATGTGGGTGTCCTGTAAGCAATATTAACATATAAATGTTAAATAATGATACCTTCTGAAGGTAAGAGCTGGGGTTTTTGCAAACCTTTTGAACACTCATGTGCATATGCCAGGCAGACAAGCACTCTGGAGTTTGAAAGATGAGCCCTTTTGAACTATAAGCATCCCATCTCAGTATGATTCCTAGGGAGAAAATCTTGTTGCAAGCGCTTTGGATTTATGTAGGCCCTGTGGAGTTCACTGGTGGGTTTATTTGGCAGGTGGGCCTTATTAACCTGCCAGCAAGGGACTGTTTGACCTGCTTGGGTTTGTAGAGCTTGTAAATAAAGATTCTGTCAGGGAAGAGAGATTCTCTTGTGCTTCAGACTATTTATATCTCTTCTAACTGTGGCTGTTAAAGCTTATAAAGAAACAGAAGGTCTGGGATGTGAGACAGAAAACCCTGAGGGAGTTTTATGTGTTGTATTTGGATTGCTGTGTTAATATCCTAAAATAAACACAGTGTGCTAGAAAATGGGCAATATTTTTATTGTAATTATTATTAACTCAAAGACATAACTTATTGGTTATTAAATATAACATGGCTGAGCTTGGCTGTAGGGGACAATAAAATAACCTCTTAATTTAACACTAGCAGCTATTGGCAATCAATGGGAACCAGACATTTAATCAGCTTCATTTCCCTCTTTTTTGCTAATTTTTTTCTTTTTTTGCATTGTTCTCAAATTTAATAATTACTAGTATTTACATTTTTTACAGCTCAGGTTAGTAATGAATACAATAAGTTTACAATAAATTGTAATGATAATTAAACTATGATAGACTATCCATTAATAGAATAATTTTAATTGGACAGAACGATTATATTGAAAGGTGTGTTGTATTACAGATTGAAAAAATATCCCTTTAAGAAGTCCTTTTGTCTGTCTAGTGCAGGTCTTATTATAGGGTCCTTTCTAACTTTGCAATATGTAATTTTTAATAGGTGTATCTTATTCAGTGAAAAGACTATGTTATTTTATTTCTTACATTCCTTATAATGTAAGAAAATGTTTTCCTTTTACTCAAAAGCAACCAGTTTGCACTAGCTGAACAATCTTTTTGGGAAAGGTTTCTTTCTGTTTCAGCAGACCTACTCAGACACCCAAGTGCTACTGCAGATCAAATGACATCGAGTTCAGGGTCTGCCAGAGTTGAACTTTTGAGTCTGTATTCCTTGTTCATTCATTTGAAAGGAAATTTTGGAATATTTCTGCCTTTTGTCCTGATAGGACTCAACAAATATTTTTTGACCTTAGCCAGGGTGGACTGATGTGGTACTTAGGCATTTTATTTTAAAATATTTTATACTAACAGTCATCAGTTTATAGAGAACCTGCTGAATTTAAAATTGCAAACATACATGTCTGCAAAAGTATTTCACTCTAGAGCTGCTGCAGTGGCCCAGGAGAGCTTGCTAGTGAAGAAGTAAGGTATTAGTGGTGATGCACACTAATACTCTACCAATGCAAGTAGGGTATCAGTGGTGATGCACACTGGATGGAGAATGGCTTCCAAATTTTTCTAGTCACCAAAACTTTACAAGACGAAGCCACTTGGGAGAAACATGAAGACAAGCCTTTTCTTCTTTTGTTCCACCTCCTTTCCAGTGGGCATCTACTTTGTGAGCTGGATGCCCTGGCTCTCAGCCCTGCTGCGATGTGGGACTGGCAAACTCCTGTGCACCTGTTCCAGGGGGATTAGCCACTGGTGACAGCCCATACCCAGAATTTGCTCCACAGATGGTATTATCCTTCAACAAGTGAGTCAGAACCATTTGACTTGGAGCTTTTTATAGTTGTTGTTGAGGGTAATGATAATCATCCTAATAAAGTACTTCTTAACCTCTCATACTGAATAGTTTGCTATTGGTTGAGGAAGATACCAAGCTGTCCTTCACTCCCATCCCTATCAGCTTTACCAGCACTGGCAAAACACTGTTAAGCTTTTACAATCATCTGTCATTACAGTGGGAAGTGAGTGTTGTCTGGTGGATGAGATACCAGGCTGAGGGCAGAATTGACTCCGCTAATTAATTCACCATTGGGAAATCTAAGACTATATTACTTCCTCTGCTATTTTGATTTTCCTAATGATAAATACATTCATTTGAGAATTCAATAAACAGCTCATGCTGAAAATAAAGTATGCCAGGATTGGTTTGCAGAACTGGGCTTTATGTTAAGTTTTCTAGTCCAAAGAATCAAATATTATGTGCCTTGCATTACTACATGTTGACATGCTAATTGATAACAGAAATAATATTAATGTTTTTTTCTCTTTTGTCTTCCACTTACAAGGCTTTATGTCATTCTAATAGAATAGAGTTTTTGATATAAATACTTTACTTTTAAAATTGTCCATATATAGTTCAGGGAATAAATGTCCTAAATATTATTCCACCCAAGCTCTCTTTTTATTTTTTATTATTTTCTCTTATTTTTTAATCTCCTCCTTTTCCCTTTTTAATTTTTTCTCCTTTTTTTCCCCCTCTCTTTCTGCAAGTACATAAAAAGAATCAGGCACTTCCTGCTATCCCTAAGCACAAATTTAGTTCCTAGTTTAGCAACTCTAACGTATTCAGGAAGGAAGGAATAATCTTTCTGAGGCTGTAGTGTTTTTACAGTGGCTGTAGTAGCTGTAGCTCAGATTGTAGTTCCATACTGCAGGAATTGTGTAATGTTTGATCTTTGGAAGTAATAAGGAACAGGCCCATTCATAGGTGAGAATAATATGCATTGTGCAGTACAGTGAAGCAGACAAATGTTCCTGCATAGAGGAGACTACCATCTGGTAGAATAAAACCATTCATATTAGCCACAAAATTCACTGAATAACAATAATTTTTTTCCAAAATAAACCCCTCCTTTTTCTGGCTAGGATAAAGTAAGACTGATTAGGTATCACTTGTAAAAGGTGAATTTTATGAAAGAAGAGGATGTAAGTGCTCTAGAGGAGAAGGATTTGCAGGAGAAGCATGATAAGATAAAGATTTGTCTAAAATAGGACTGGGAAATGGCTAAGTGGGAACTGTGAGCTGAGTGTGTGGGAGGAAAGCAGGCAAGCATTCATTTCACCAAACATTAAGAACAGAAAAAAGGCACGGGTGGAGAGCAGATTTCTTTTTGTTACTCTGCTTTAAATTGACCTGCTGATTTCAGTTCCTGCAGGGCATTAAGACTGTGTTCAGTGGGCTTTTAATTTATCAACCAGCCTGTTGTGAATAGTTGCTATCTGTTCTTTCTTCTAACTACTCTCTTTACCTCACCAAAAAAACCCAAGTGACAACCAGCCTGATTCACCTTTCAATTTAAGAAGATTCTACCTGATTTAGATCCAGCTGCTTTGCTTTAAAGGTATCAGCTGTTAACTTTAAGCAGCACACTGAAGGGTTGCTCTAGCTTTCACCTGTGAGCAGTCAGGTCCAACCTGCCCTCATAAAAGCCCTCTCCTGGCTCCCATGGCAGCAGATGTGAGGACAGAGTAGCATGGAGTGGGTCACACTGTCGGTGCGGGAGGGAAACAGCTGCCTGGTAAAGCAGCTTTTTGTGGAGTATATCAAGTTCTGGCCCTGTTTTGCCATAAATTAGCTGGTTTAATAAACATTCCCGGCAGCCTTCAGTAAACAGACTGTTTCATGCTTGAACTTACTAACATGCTCTTATCTTTGCTATAAAATGTATATAATCATGAGAGATTTCCGAGTGGCAGAGTGGATTTGTGAAAACATCCGCATAATGTTTTTCCACTTGCTTTCAGCTCCGTTCATGGATTTGCTGGCTGAGACAGTGTTTGGAGTAAAGTCACATGATCAATCTGCATTTTCTTGCAGTCTTCCTGAGCTTTTGCACCATTCTTTTTCATACCAGGTATTCTGTTATCTATAGATCCAAGCTCCTTCTTCTAAGGGTAATAAATCAAAATTATACAGTGTTTAGTATTTCAGTCAGAGGGATTAGTCAGAATTAGAACATTCCTGAATGAAGGTCATATAAATCAATCCTTCAGTTATTCCATTTTCAGTTTCATTGTAATGAACAGTCCCCTGCTTGCAGTGAGAAAGCTTATGGTGCTGGAATGCTGATAAGATGATACTGCATTCAGAGTACATTTTCAACCATTGGATGAAATCTGCAATGCGATATATGACATATATGCAAGGGTCTGAGTTGAAAAGCCTTGAAATTGTCAAATTATAGCATTCTAGGGATGAGACTGGTTTACAAAATCATTGAATCCTCTGTATAGCAGAAAAAAATTTAATGTGCAAAGTAATAACAGAGGACTTGTAGTAGAAATGTAAAATACACCACTCTTTTATCATGATAAATAGGTTAATGGTATATTGTTGTGCATGCTTAACATGGGGGAGTGGTTTTTACCTGGGTAACAATGCACAATAACTAACATCACTTTTCCTGCTTAAAATACTTGACAAGTGATGTTGCTTCTAATAACATAATGTAGCTATGCAGCCATTTTAATTGCTTGCAAAATTGAAATACTGAGAAAGAACTTGGCGTTGGAATCAGACTGATGGAATTTGCTGTATGCTGCCAATTATTGAGGTTATTGTCTAAATTCTTTGATCAAACATACACCCTAAATGTACTTCCTAATGTATATATTGAATCTGTGCTCACAGGATAGTATAAAGCAAATACTACTCTTTGAACACACTCCCACTCACTTTACCCTGGGGAAATTGTTAAAATATGCATATGTCTATTTATTTACTATACACAGCCCTCCACTGACATGCCAATATTCCAGGGCTTGTATGTTCCAGTCTGTTTGCTCCCTTCCCTTTGACTAGCTTTGCACTCCCACCAGCTTCCCCCTGGGTTAGACATATTTGGTTACCACTCAGCCCTGATTTCCACGTGGCTTCCTCCAGTTCCTGTGCACCCCTGCCCTGTGCAGAAGCACAGCTGGAGGCCACAGAGAGGAGGAGGAGGAGGAGGAGGAGCTCTCCAGGGTTCTGTTCAACCTGAGATGCAAGGATCTGGGGAGAAGTTCCTCAAACCTGGCCTTCAATCCAGCAGCGTGAGTCAGCTTGTAGAAACCCCCAATAGTATCACACTGGTAAAGGCTCTGCATTGCAAGGTTAAAAATGGAAAAGGGAATTCTGACAATTCCTTATTTACCTGCATGAATTGTGATGTTCTGAGTAGTGCCCTGAGTATGGAGCTTGCAGTCCTCCTCCACCTGGTGTTTCTGAAGAGATGGAAACACCATCAATGGAGGTGGGAACGATGGCTGTGGAGGAGGAGGTGACAGACTTCCAGGAGCAATGATGAAACTGTGAACTCACCAGAAGGGGGCCTGCAGCTGATGGATTCAATTTCTGAGGATCCATTCAGGATCATCCATCATGCTGGGAATTGCAGGTAGCCCTGAAGCAATGTGAAACATAGCTTTTAAACAAAATTTTTTACAGGAGTTTTTAAGGAGGTGTCTTCAATGTTATCTTTCTGGTTTTACTGGAAATCTAACAGCATCACCTTTTAATTGGCAGCTTCAGCAGGAACATTTGAAAGAGTTGGCTTCTCTGTGCTACCTTGACCTGGACTTGGGCTCCAGAGGGAAAATATTTGCAGTTTTTACCTTGCACCGAGCCTGCTGTTCCTGATTGTAGGAACTGAGGGATGACAAGCTTAGGACAAAGCACAAGGACCACAAAGGCCAGTGATGATAACCATGTGAAAAACAGAGGAGCCAGAAGGAATAGGGAAGAGATAAAGGGGCACAATAAGAAGTGTACTGGGATATTATGCAGCTCTTCGGGAAACAATCACAGATGTTAAGCAGCTCATTCGGAAGGAACAAATCTCTCCATAACACAAGACTTGATCAAAATCAGCCTGAATGTGAGTGTGGCTACCTGAGCATGGGTTGTGTGTGTCTCTGCAGTGCAGAGGCTTGAAGGCAGGTTTGCCACCAGCACACAGGAGCTGGGACACAGCGATGCACAAGTAACCTTGGTGACAGAGGCAGGACTGAAACAGCGAATTCACAGCTCCCTGCTCTGTGCTCAGACCCCCAGACTCCGTTCTCTGTATGTTTATCAGCAGTGATGGAATACAAGTCACTGCTGCAGGCAGCAACGCTCTGTGCTCACCCTACTCCTTATACTCCTTCCTTAGGCATTCATTTCTGACTATGACCAGAGATTGGATAAAGGGACCCACAGGCCTTTGGTTTAGCCCAGTGTAGTCATTCTAGTTTCCATGATGCCAAATGAAGCCTTCATCTAACCTAAATAAAGAACAGGATGTGGCACTGTTAGTTTCTTTGTTTATAGTGTCTTAATAAATTCTAGAACAAATGTACTCAATTTGGATGCAAAAGAACATTCTCTTACTGTCAGCTCTACAAGCTAGTCTTGAAAACTGAGAGTCACTGAATTCTTTTTGTCCTGTACATCAATGCAAAGAAAGCTGTAGAGACAAAACCTGTAAATTTCTTCTGCAGTAGCTCTTCCCTGCCTCAGCACCGTCTGCAATTCCTACCTTCAGCAGATTTATGAAATGTCTCAGCTGAATAAAATTATATTGTAACTGATATAGGAGAAGGATTGGAATTAATTTCATTGTTATTACAGTGAAATGAAATTAGTTATATTGACAACTGAGTTTTGAAGGGAGCAAAAGCTGCAATATTTTTATACCCATGTTAGTAAAATAACTTGATAATCCTGATATGCTGTATAGAAAAATTATTTTTGTATGATACTGTTTCACAAAATAATGTAAATATATGGATTGCATAGGTGTTTATAGGCACAGAATTTGTTCACAATAAATAATCTGTGATCTTATTTTGTTTCAGAAAAATTCCAGTTTATCTTCATTTTATTCATTTGCTTTGTGCTACCTAAGTTTGCCATAATAAAGACTCTTGGGGTTCTAATTAGTGATTTTTCTGGAACACTATTTACCACAGTGATTTGAGATAGAGGTTAGTGCCTCCAGGAACCTGGAAAATACTTGGATTTGTGCACAATGTATTTCATGTTGGTTTATTTAGATAATTCAAAGTTTTAAACAAAAAGGTAAAATATAATGATTAATCTGATGTCTTCTATCACTGGAGGAATATATTATCAAAGCCTGTCCTAAAAATTTCTTTCAACCAGATCTGTCATTTTTCATTTGGACAATATGGACTTGTTCATCTTTTTGTTTGAAATGTGCTTTACCACACACACACACAAGAAATGCCAGAGTAGTCAGAGAAAGGAGATACCTTTGAGAATCATCCCTAACATATTTCCATTAATTTGAATGGAGTAACAGCCATAGTATCCAGCCTATATGCTCTGCAAGGAGAGAAATACAGTTCCATACACAAAAGGCATGGTCTGGTTAAATCAATTTCTATAGCATCTTGTCTCCACATCCTTCTCAATTAACTATCCTTCTCAATTAAAGTCAGCTCTGCTCTGGGAATACTCTTTGGTAGTTAACTGTTGCTGTTAGAGAGCTAACTTCAGATTGAACACAGCTGGCTTATGTATTTTGTTAATAGTTTTGGTAATGGAACAACAAATGCAAGGGGACCAAACTACTAAGCAGAAATCAGAAGATTTTCAACCCAAATAAATCAACTTTAAGCATAAGAAAACACAAATGTAAATTTCCTTTGACTTTCTCCTGATAAAAAAAAAATTACAAACTTAAGTTAGTCTTACAGTTTTCTTTTTTCCTGATTTCTACGCCTTTGGCATATTGAAGGTTGCATACCCTGTGCCTCTGTGCAAACACCACTAATCTCTAGAATATTTCATCTTAAATTCATTCTTTGGCGCTTCTTTACTTTCATTTCCACTTACATCAAAGTCAAACAGAAACCCCTCAAACAGCCCAACTCCTCACAGAGCACAAGAAGGAGACAGAGCAGATACAAAGTTCAGGGAGGGTATGAAGAAAACATGTAATGCATGTGTGAGAAGGATCACAGATGAAGGAAGAAGAAAGCCAGCTGAAAAAAGGAGATGAAGGAAGGTAAGTGCAAGACAGATTTTTAACACATCTCAGTCTTGCTGTGGCTTTTATGGGTAATTAATTACCCACTAGAGGGAGATCGACTGTAACTTGTTGCCAGGTGGATTATGGCAGAAGTTAGACTTCATAAAGTGCAAAGAGGAAACCCTGTGGTAAGAAAGCAAGAGAAGACAGAGGTTCCTTTCCTTGGTGGAGTTTCGTTCTGTGTAAGTTACCAAGCGGACTGAGAGCTCTTCCCTTTCTGACCTGGCTTTCATTATATTCCTACACAAAAAATCCCCACCCTTATTAACCTGTTTGTTCTGTTGGTGAGAGGAGCACGTGGAGTTTAAGGGTGGCAGGAACAGTGTAATCTGTAGTGCTTGTTAGGACTACACTGCCATAGGCCCCCAGCATGGGGTGAGCCATGCATGACTCAGTCAAGTGCCTTGAGACCCCTGACACTGACCCTTTGGTCCACTTCAAACACCTCCTTGGTTCCAGGTTAGGACTTCCATCTCACAGCTTTTATTAGCTGCCCATGAGTAATCATTTATGGTCTCTTACTCTCACCTCTATTTGTGCAGAAGAGAGGAAGCTTTTAACATTCAAAGCAGGCTTAGGCATGTCCTTTCCTCAAGGGAAACCAAGAAAGGAAGTAGTAATGGATGCTTAGAATTGGAAACAGATCATAGGAAAAGTAGCTCCTACCCATTTGTGTCATTCCTGCTTCTGAAAATTAGTAGTTCAGGGATTTCCTAATTTCCAAAGAGGACATTGCAGCTAGACAAGCATGTGTCAGGGACTTTATTAAGTCTAGCTCCCTTGAGTGTATCTATTTTCTTGTTGAGGCTATTTCTTTATATTTTGAGAACATCCAGTGGCAATGAGTTTATATGAAAATATATTTCCTCCTGTTCTTTTTTAAACCCTGCTCCCAGATAAACTGGTTTAATTAATATGGCATTTATGAGCAGCAATAATAACCATTTTTTATTCACTTTCCTCCCACCTTCATTATTTTCCAGACCTCTGTATATCCCCTTCCTGTTGCAGTGCAGAATTCTAACCTCACTCTGGCTCCACTTATACTAGGATTTTTGAATAATATGAAGTCTTTTCAGAATCAAGCTCTTAGCAGTGAAAGTGGTCTTAAGCCTAACTTTGCCTTTGTGCTTAAGGACTGTTGGATACAGGAGAACATAATGTGAACTTGGAAAAGATGCATAATTATTTCCACACAGGAAGTTTGCAGTTGATAGTTTGGTGTCACAGATAGAAATGACTAGTCTAACATGCCATGAACTAAGTAAGAGCCAAAATAATTATCTAATGCCTGTGAACCCTCGGGGTCAAATATAGTCTCTGCTACCATGTGCAATGCCAGAAAAGTTTGCTGACAAACACCAGCCATCAAAAACACCTCTTCCACCCAAACTCCATGTCACAGTTTCCAAGGTGGCCTGTGGTTACATCCTGCTTACCTTCAAATTCCCTCAAAAATACAGGGGGTTCTGGGTACTACTTATTCAATAACCCTGGTTTAATAATTATTAAAAACATGGCATGACTTCATTTAGCAGTAGCCTGATATGATCCTTAAACAAATCAAGTAAAGGTAAATGTAAAACAATGAATTTGCAAAAATCCAAATAAAAGAAACACATTTGCGTTGCCCATCCAAAGCAATCCACAGAAAAGAAATAGGGTATATAGGACATTTGCAGACCTAGCAGAGCAGCTGGCTGTGCTCTATAAGAAAACTAGGCACAGGTGCTGGGATTGTGCCTAGGGCCCTGATTCCCAGCTGGCATGCTGAAAGAGGCTTCCCGCTCAGGGAGAGTTAGATGTCTATTCCTTGGGAGGAGAGGCCTCACAGAGGGGAGAAGGTTGTTCCCTTGGCACAACAGGGAAGCTCTGCTGGCTAAGCCAGTTTATTGTTGATATCTGTTGGGCATATTCCCTTTTTCAGCTGTTGGATTAGTGATTAGAAAAGAAAATGATTGATGTGTGTCATATAGGAATGAGTGTGAGGCTTGCCTCCCTGACTAATGAGCAGGCTGGATGGCTCACTTTTACCTGCTGCAGATTAGTCTCAATGAGCTCCTCTCGCTCTATCCAGCTGATGAACTGCTAGGTATCTGTAGACCCCAGCCAAGACTTGTTTGTACACAAAACTCCCTCTTGAAATTGCTTTCAGAGGAGAGCGCCTGCTCTGGGGGACTGCACTTCCCCTGGATACTGATCAAATGCAATGGTAAAGCTCTTTTATTTCAACTTTGTATTTTCTTACATACATGACTTGTTAGCCATGCTTTATGCACACATGCAACCTGGATTAAAGCATATAACGTGTTACTGAGAAAATACCTAATTGCTTGAAGGTAACAGGATGTTTGGGGCTGAATGCCTCCCAAGTCTGTCTCTAGGGGATACTATAATAATAATAAAGTGAATAGAGGCCTAAGACAGGCTGGAGAGAGGTTGCTGATTACATGGGAAAGCCCAGACAAAGCGTCTTCTGTTTCTGGTGCCTGAAATTCAGCCGCACAAGAAAAAGGCAGGATACTGGCAAAGCACCACTGGGATGTACTTGTGCTGATGGCTCTTTGTTGTTTTTCTATAGCTTCACATCACATTTTAACAGGTATTTCCCCTCAAGATTCTCATATAGTTACAAATCAAGTGTTGTCAACAGAGCTGCCATTTCACTTGACTTGGAGATTACCATTCTTTCTGTCTCACAAAAAAAAGATTAAAATGATCATTTTTATCTCTGTCCAAGACTTTTATGATGCTATCTGGCAAGAAACAGGATTTGATGTTACAAGTACATAACTGCACTGATCCTTTACCACTCTGTGTGAATGCCTCTGATAGTAAAGGGACATGGCATGCAAATGCCTGTTAGAATTGGGGCCCAACAGCTTAGGTCCTGTTGAGGTCAAGGCGCAGAGATCCAGACAAACACTGATTTGGAAAATTTACAGTATAGAGGATGGTTGTAGAAAGAGAAAGTGCACTGACCATTCCAAAGGAACCAACACCTTTTTAAAATCTCTTAATCTGCTTTTCATTATCTCTGTGGGGAGGCCTCTTGAGAAAAGCAGCTCTTTGACTTGAATAAAGGAGGGGCTGTGGGCTTGCGTGCTGGAATGGGGAGGTCATTGTACAGCAGCGCGGAAGATAGGAGTGTCAGTCAGGTCAAGGAGAACAGGATGAAAAAGTGTGAGATCTGTGTTACAGGCTTGGTCTGGATTATGAGAGGTAGAAGGTGTAAAGCTGAAAGGTAAATAAAAGAGAGTGAATTCAAAGGTTGGAAAGACACATTCTGGTAGGGTTATTCAGGCGGAGTGTAAGGGAAAATACGAGCCAGGACTGATAAGATCATCAGCAAAACCAGCAAGAAAGAGGTAATGACATGACAGTAGAGGCCCGAGGGGGCTAAATTCTACACAGGAATTTTAAGCATCAGGCTTCAGCAAACGAACATATCCATCTTCAATATTTTTCATTTTCTCTTTTAACAGAAATGCTTAGCTCTGCTCACCTCCTCTGAGGCAGAGAAAACACGAATATGCCATGGGGGTAATGGGACAATGCTGCATTTTCCCTGCACCAAGTCATATACAGCTGTGTGCATGTGCTGGCTGTAACCTGCTCCCCTCCAAACCAGTACTTACCATAAAGAGCCTCAGCCTTGCAAAATTGCTAAAGAAAGTTACATTGCTGCCATTAAAATGGCCCTTGGAAGTAGCACATTTTTCTCCTTTTTAGAATACAAAGGTAAAAATTCTCTTAAAATGGTGTGCTAACCTTCTGCTGTTTCTTTAATGGACACAAACTGAAAGGTATCTGTTTTGCAGGGACCTCCTGTGTTTCCAGTACTCCTATAATACTGCTTGACTTCACCAAGAATTTTGTGATATACAAGAAATGCAGGAACA